GACGCTACTAGGGGCTCCTGGCCTTACTACTAGGAGCAAGGACGCTAGTAGGGGCTCCTAGGGGCTCCTGGCCTTATTACTAGGAGCAAGGAGACTACTAGGGGCTTACTAGGAGCAAGGACGCAACTAGGGGCTCCTCCTACGAGCAAGGACGCTACTAGGGGCTCCCTACTAGGAGCAAGGGCGCTACTAGGGGCTGGCCTTACTACTAGGAGCAAGGACGCTACTAGGGGCTCCTGGCCTTACTACTAGGAGCAAGGACGCAGCTAGGGGCTCCTGGCCTTACTACTGTACTAGGAGCAAGGACGCTGCTAGGGGCCGACTAGGGGCTCCTGGCCTTACTACTAGGGGGTTCTCGCCGTACTACTAGGAGCAAGGACGCTACTAGGGGCCCCTGGCCTTACTACTAGGAGCAAGGACGCTACTAGGCCTCCTGGCCTTACTACTAGGAGCAAGGACGCTACTAGGGGATCCTGGCCTTACTACTAGGAGCAAGGACGCTACTAGGGGCTCCTGGCTTGACTACTAGGAGCAACGACGCTACTAGGGGGCTCCTGGCCTTACTCCAGGAGCAAGGACGCTACTAGGGGCCCCTGGCCCTACTAGGAGCAAGGACGCTACTAGGGGCTCCTGGCCTTACTACTAGGAGCAAGGACGCAACTAGGACGCTACTAGGGGCTCATGGCCTTACTACCACGAGCAAGGGCGCTACTAGGAACCTCCTGGCCTTACTACTAGGAGCAAGGACGCTACTAGGGGCTCCTGGCCTTACTACTAGGAGCAAGGACGCTACTAGGGGCTCCTGCCCTTACTACTAGGAGCAAGGACGCTACTAGGGGCTCCTGGCCTTACTACTAGGACCAAGGACGCTACTGGGGGCTCCTGGAGCAAGGACGCTACTAGGGGCTCCTGGCCTTACTACTGTACTAGGAGCAAGGACGCTACTAGGGGCCGACTGGGGGCTCCTGGCCTTACTACTAGGAGCAAGGACGCTACTAGGGGGTTCTCGCCGTACTACTAGGAGCAAGGACGCTACTAGGGGCCCCTGGCCTTACTACTA